CGAGCATATCAGTTCGAGTGCAATTTATATAAGCCTGACTGTTAATAACGCTCAAATATTTCATCGTACTTCACTGATACGTATATCATGGAGTATGATGAAGTATTTGGGCTTTTTTTACCAGACAGACTGATATGAAATGAACTCAAACTAATATGTTCGTGACAAATATTGACAATAGACTTGAAATAGCTAAGAAATTCTAGATAAAAAATTCAGAGTTACATACATTGAACTGGTTGTGGAGTCAAAAAATTAATAAAATCTCATGACTTTCGTGAATTTTACATGGAAAACACGAAAAAAAAGACGGCATTTCTGAAGATGAAACGGACAAAAAACTTGATTTATTTGAAATTCATTGATAAAAAGCGACATTTTAATTAAGTAAATGCAGTGAATTTCGTTTTCAATCAAAATCATGCAATAAAACTAATGAAAACGTCTACTTTAAAAGATAAATTTGAAATAAATCAATTTTTTTCTCCATTTCATCATTTTAATACCATTTGTAGAATTGTTTTACTCACTGGATGTTCGCTCATGGCAGACTTAGTACATTCTTTCACTTGGCAAAAAGTAACATCAAAATGATTATGTGCAGAAAAAACCGAAACATATAGTCAAAAAGAAACTGACAAAAAGGTGTCTTAGAAAATTGTTTTATAAGACGAAATTATTGAATAAAAAACTGCGGTTTAGACAAACAACTATTAAAAGAAATATTAAAATACAGGGAGGCCCATTTTCACTGAAACACTAAATAATTTCAAAGAATTTCTATTCGATAGGCGAATATGAATATAAATTTTTTTCTCCGATGAACGTAAGCATTTGTGTAAAGTACATATATATTGAATATCTCGAGAATAGTAACAGCTACCAAGCCAAAGAGAAGACTGAGAAGTAACTCTTAATACTAAACGTTTGAAAAAAATGCAGAATAATCTTATATGAATCCGATAAATAGTTTATAGCTATATTAAATACAAAATGCAATAGTGCTAAAAAATTGTAATTTGGTTTTTTACACTTGCGAATGTCAATAAGTTAATTTGATTTCATACTTCGACAAAACATAATTGAATATATATGTACGAATAGATTTAATAAATCTTTTTACTCATTCCTTTTCTAACACTACTGTGAAGTATTTGTCAAAGAAACATCTTGACTATTTCAGTATATGTAGAATTTCATAGGTTATTTATAATTTTTTCGAATTGATTATAAACATTTTCATACTTTCGTGTAACAGTCGTTACTCGAATTTTTTTAAATCCAGATAAATGTTGATATTGTGTAATAAATTGTACATAACCTCTTTGACCAGTTGGTGGTGCTTCAGTTGATGGTTGTTGCTAAATAATAAATAAATCTTCAATATTGTTAACAAAATTGTTTATTAAACCTTACTTGATTCAATACTTCAAAAAAGAGTGAAAGAGTTGAATTCGGATACATTCCACAAATTTTCCATGCATTTGTTCCACCAATACCTAATTCAGTTTCTGAAACATTTGCTGCACGTTGTGATAATGAAACACATGAACCAATGGCACCAGATATTTTAAGTTCACGACTTGTCTGAAAATAATTTCTTATTTATTTATATATATACTTTTTTCATTTATTTTTTTTTACTTTGATTTCTACAGTCGCACCAAAACTCATTCTATATTCATTTTTATGATCTTTAGCAAATACTTTTTGAAATGTTTGTTTAAACAAAGATGTATTAAATGAATCACTCATAACCATGTGACCACTAAAAATTATCCAATTAAAACTTCAGTCAATTAAAAAATTAAATTACCCTGTATAATTTGAACAATATTTCATTTCATGTAAACCAGTTTGATCTAATGCTGATGAATATAAATCAATAACATGTCCATTAACAGCTGCACGATTTGCTAAACCTTCATAAAACTAAAATAGACTTTAAATTTATGAATTGTATATGAAAGATTTTTCTTCTCATACCTTAATAGTTTTTTTCATATATTTTGCATTATCTTTTTCGATGTCATGATGAGAACGAATTGTATGTTTTAATTCTTCATCAATTATCATGCCCGGTCCTTGTGTACATGGACCAGCAATAAATAACATGATACGAGCACCAGTATTTGGATAAAGAGTCTAAATTAAATCTTGAATTAGAATAAAAATTTCCATACAAAAGAATACCTCAAGTAAACCAACAGCAATTGAAAGTGCAGCTCCGGTAGATCGTATCGCACGTTTACCTTGTTGTACTGGCCAAGGATCACGTTGAAGTTCACCAAGAAGATCTGTTAATGACATATCACATGCCGATACTGGTTGAATAAATCTAAATATCGAGTATTACAAAACAATATTCTTGTCAATGACAATAAAATTAACCATTAAGTTTTTGCTTTGATATATAATGAGCTAATTAAAGCAAGCACTTTGAAAGTTAGAACATTTGAAAAAAAAGACTACTGTCCACATCATCTATTATTAGCTGCTTAATTATTTATCTTTCTGTTGAGCCATGTTTAACCTATTCATACAAACTATTTAACACACGTAAAAAGACATTAGATCGAGACGGTTCCTGAACATTGTATAAGGGCAACAATATTTTTAATCAAAAACTATTTTTAGCATTCATTTCACATTATTATGTGTCACTAAAATGTAGCTGTTGCTCCAGACTGACGATAACCTCACTCTTATTCTCTGGTGTTTTCTACTATCAACAAGATCAATTAGTTATGGTTATCTTTGACCAGAATAAGAATCAAAGTATAGTATACAAAGCAAGCAAGATATATATATTACAATATTAACCAAGAAAACAATATGTTTGAGATGTCTCCAGGTGAGTGACCTTGCGGCACTCTCACTCTTTCGTGTGCTTTGCTTGTTAGACCAATTATTGTATAGGGTCTCGTCTATCTAGAGAGGAACCATATTTATAAATGAATATATATAGTTTTTCTACAGATGCATGCACTCTATTCACTAATTGCTTGGACCATACATAAATCTATTTGATCTATCAAAACAATGTGCTAAATGTGGATGAGAAGTTGTATGGATCGTATAGAAGCACTCAAGAAGAGTGTCTGAAAAATTGCTACTCGATAAAATCGAACTCTTTTTCATCATTCTTTCACTGAGATAAATGAGTTGGAAAACAATGTCTTTTCAAAAAAAAAGCGAAAATTTTATTAGAATTAATAGCCAGTCGAAAAGCATTCTATAGCTGATTGTAAATAATATCTTATCAATAAAAGATACAAACCTGCAGTTTTTGTTATGCCCTTCTATCTGGACAAGATCTAAACAATAGGAATGGACGATTTCGAATACGAATCAGAACTAACAATACTATATTATAAAAATACAATGAAGATTAACGATGTCAACCGGATATTGACAATGAAAGATCTTATTGAAATTCCAAAATAGCCTCTTTTTCCAAATGTCTAACTATATATCATCCCAATAAATGACTCATTTTTCAAAATATAATTGCGAAAAATCTTTAAAAACCATCTGCTAATAATAAATTCGATTTTATTTCATTCAATACAAATATATCATTTTTGATTCATTTCGCATCTCCACAATAAAATGATTTTGCCTAAGTTTAACTATATTGCGGTCATAATTAGCATAAGTATAAGCTCTTCTCATAGTCTTTTCAGCATCAAATCCAATGGAACAATACTAACGGGTAAAAGGTTCAATATTTCACTGGTCAAAAGCCGAATATTTTGAATTTAATTGAAAAAAAAACAAATTGCATTTTCAATAATTTTAAAATCACGGATAAGACTCATTTTTCACTTTACACTAATACATCTTTAGAAGAACAACTAATTCAATTTTTCATTTCATTTGACTCTCTGAAAACAATAATCACTGAAATATGCCTACATAAGCTACTTTAGACTTCGAAAAATTGTTCTCTATCACATCGACTTCTTACTTGTTATATAATGCATTTGACTGTTGCTGTAGTACATTTGGATTTCCAGGTACTGGTCTTTGATTTGGTTGTTGTTTCATTAAACCAAGCATTTCCTATAGAGAAATTTGCTCTTGATAAGAAAAAAAAACATCGGACGTTTCAAATTCTATCTACTTGAACTTGTTGTGGAGTTAAATCTTTCGTTCCACGAAAAACAAAACTACGTGTCATATTTTCACAATTAAGTTCATGTACATGTACCATACGACCAAATGTAATTAAACCAACAAGAGCATCACTTGGTAATAAACTTAATGCCATTTGCAATGATTCCTATAGAAATTTAATTATGAATAAGAATTTCGACATTAATTTAGTATGTGTTTTACTTTTAATGCTGTCATATCATCTTCATCCATACATGTATCAACAACAAATAAAAATACAGCTGGTTGAGCTGGTGCACGCTAAAAAGAAAACAATACTTTCATCACATGAAATTCTTGTTTGAAAATACCATTAATGTATATTCAATTGTTGTATAATGTGGTGAAAGTTCTGCTGGTTGTAATTGTTCACTAATTCCAGCATATTGTGGTGGAAAATTATTTCTTTGTAAACAAAAATTACATATCCAAATTTTTGCTCGATAATCAACACTACAAAATGGATTTAATATTGCTCGACATGTTGTACGTGTACATAGAACAGGATCATAATTTAATCGAGGAAGATCGATATGTTCTTTTAATGGTGTAAATAAACAGCCAAGTGGAACAACAAGTCTTGTTGCTTCAAGACGACTTGATGGCCAAACATTCCATGTAAAACGAACACCATCACGTTCTTCATTTTGTGTTATAAATTCTTGATAAGTCGTCATTTTCAGTGAACTTCCGTTTTCTAAACAATAGAAGTTCAATGATTGATTGATTACGTGGCCTAAGGAAAAACAACGAATAGAATTAAACAATTGTCGCTAATGTAATAAATCATGATTGGTTACGAATAAATAAAGAAAAATATATTTCCAAAGCATTTCTAAATAATGAGTAATGAAAAGCACGTTGTAGGAGATAATGAAGTTGCTACGTCGAAAACGAAAAAAACTGATGAAGAAGACGAAACACAATCACGAGCATCTGAATCTGATAATGATGATACTGATAGCAATGCTAGTAGTGAATATGAAGTTGTAAGTTAAAATGAAGAAATGAATTTCGATTTGATTTTTATTTTTTTGAATTTTCTAAGGAAAAAATTCTTGCTAAACGTCGACGTCGTCGTGGTGGCTATGAATATTATATAAAATGGGTAGGTTATGATGATTCAGCAAATGAATGGATACCTGAATCCAGTTTAAATTGTCCACAACGTTTAGCTGAATTTCACCGTGAAGAAGCACGTAAGCGAAAGCGTACACGAAGAGAACGAAGTTATTCTCAAAAACGTCGAAGTAATAAAAGTCGATCAAAAAAACGACGAGTCAAAGTTATTGAAGATGATGATAATGATAATAATAATGATAATGATGATGATAATGATGAACAAGAACCAACGAAATCAGTTGAATCATCAACTGGTTCAACAACAATTTCCGATAAAGATCAAGAAACAAAATCTATAACATATGGAGTTGAAAAAGGTTATCAAGTTCAAGCTATTCTTGGTATTAATCGTACAAAAGGAGAACAATTACATTATCTTGTCCATTATAAATCTCCTACAATGTTTGATGATAATATGGAATTAATTCCAGCTAATATTGCAAAAAAATATTGTGAAGATGAATTAATTCAATTCTATGAAACAAGAATAACATGGAATGATCGTCCAAATGACTTATAATAAGAGAGAAAAAAACACCATCTAGTTTTGATTCTCATCTAAGATAATACGATATTGTCTTTTTGTTTATGTGCTTAATCTCGTTTTTACTGTGATATACTGTATAGATATGTTATTGTTTGGTAGAAAAGAAAATCTATATAGAAAATTTCATTTTTTCTTCTTCTAGAAAGAGGATTTACTAGATTCAGCATCTATCGATTCGGATTTTTTCAATTGTATAAATGTTTCAATTTTTATATTCATTCATTCTTCTTTTCCATAGGAAAATAAATTATGAAAAATCGTATGAATTTCTATATTGCATGAAACAAAACTAACTAATACGTCAAAGAGTAAATTTACTTTTTCACTGACGAATATTATAATTATATATTCATAATAATAATACCAATAATGATTTATTACTATTAACGAATAGAAAGAAGAAAAATTGCTCCACGGACATATTCAATTAATTGAAAAATTTGAAAACACATTTTCTCTTTATTGAAATTTTATTGTAAGTTTCTGAATGAGAAAAATTTATTTAAATAACTACAATTATGCTTGATAAATACTTGTTTGCCAATCAATAGATTCTATATTCTAAAGATCGTCAAAAGTTGAACGATGCTTTCAAGCATTTCGGTAACTAACTCGATATATTCTTCTTGAGGCATTATTTAAATCAGTTATTTCTTCTTTTTTCTTGTTTTTAGATGATATTAACAGTAACTTATTCATATGTTTTTTACCATCATTAACTTGCTTTGGTTCATCCATACGTTCTGATCGAATTATGATGTATAAAAGTATCGCCCAAACTCCTTCCAGTCCATTACATACAATAAAAAACCATGATAAAATGTTTTCAACATCCGCGTTAACAAATGCTAAGACTGAACCAATTAACCATCCTATTCCTTGAGCAACATAAGATGATAATAGTACAAGAACAAATTGTTTCATTCATTTATATGTATGATGAGGAGATATAGCACGTTGAACATGATTAATAATACGTCTAGTGACAAAAAATATTAGGATGAAATTCAGTAGAAGAAATATACCGAGAGGTATTGTCATAAAATAATGAAGAATATCTTGAGTAAACCAACAAAGTTTATTTCTATGTAATTGAGTTATATAATAGGATGCGTTAGAATTGAATTCCACTGCAAAAGAAGTACCGATTATTGAAATACAAAAAGATATAGCTAGTAGTACAAATAGTTTTCGATATGATGGTTCAGAAAAGAGTCGAACAAATCGAAGATAATTAAAATAACCAAAACTTGTTTTGGTACAAAACATAAAAATTAAAAAGAAATAAACGAAAAACATCAATACACTTGAACTTAATAAACATTTTGTTCCATGATCAGGCTTTGCTGGAGTATAAACTGTCATACTAAGGGCAATAAAGAATATAAAAAGAATAGTTGTACTTGCAGATGAAATCAATGAAAGTAAGTCACGCGCATTCATTGACATAGCAGGATTGAGAAGACAAGTAATAAAGCTATGAATAATAACTGCAATAAAACAGAGAATAGATATTGATAGAAATGTCATTGATGCAATATCTTGAGAAGTGAGATTTGTTGTATTTGCTAGATTCGGTGACCATATAAGAGCAAATGTAAGATAATTACAAATACATTCATAACGATTGTAGCTTTTGTTATATTGAAGTTTAGTACAACCAGCTGTATCCCATTTTGAAGTATTAGTATTAAAAAATGAACCTGCATATTGATCAGCACTACGTGTTTTATTATCTTCTGAAGGTTGAAAATATAAATAAAGAGTGATTGGCGAATTATTATCTTTTTTCTGCACACCAAATGTGATGACGGGTGATACAAGAGATTGATTGTTTGAAACATCTAAAGTTTCATATGCCTTAGGTTTAGCCAGTATAAATACGCTAATATTATCAGCATTATTCACTGTTTCATTATTAATAATAGCTGCCGCAACTATATTTGAATTGATTACACGTATTTTATTAGTTTCATTAAATTCCATTATTTTCTGTATAATTAAGTGAACCTCCTAAAATAGTAACATTTCTATCTTTCGTTGGTAGTGCGAAAAGGAGCCCTAGTCCTAAGTTAATTGATTCGACACTATGCAATCCATTAACTATGTCATCAATATCACGAGGTGTTAAAACATCAGGTATATTGGAGTTTAGAGTCAAATTATCAGTCGAACTAAACTATACAAGCAGAGCTTTGGCTTTATCATTTGGATCAGTAGAATTATTGTGCAATACAATGATTGAAAGATTCTGTGTATGTATATAAAGAAAAATAATAAGATAAGACAAAAGGTCTTTCATATTATGCCTGCGCTTCGGATATTGCAATGCATGTATCATTCATCCATCGTACTTGTGACGAGTTTGCACAATTACTAGGTTCCCAAGGACGAGGAATTATGGTAGTTGAAGTTTTTAAGCTAGTTGTGAAGGTTATAGTGTTGGTATGTGAATAAACACTTATGATATCAGTTGTTAATGAAATGTTTGTGGTAAAAATTGCTAAAATGTAAGAAGAATTCGAAAAATATGAAGTAAAAAAAGAATTGTGTCTTCATTTTACTGGTTTCAATTGATATCGTTGTTCTATATGTCAATGTTTCAGCTAAAAACTATGTTTTATTATTGATAATAGATAAATAAATAAATAAATAAATATTACTTGTGTCTATACTTTCGTCTATTGTGATTTGCATATTTTGTATTAGTAACTGTGAATCTTGTATATGATATGCATTGTCTGGGCTATCGTCATTGGCAATGTCACAGTGTAGAATGATACTATTGTATAAAATTATCATCAGATATAAAACGCATGATTCTCTACGAATTATTATAGGCATTTTATTAATATTCTTCGATTTACTACTGAAAAAAGAATTCGATAGATGTATGAAGTATAGTTTGAAATTTGATTCTACTATGAGGTATTTTTTTCAAATTGTCAAGTCAATACATATGTATATTCTGTGTTAGCCATAAAATATGAGCAAAAGAAAAGAACAAGTGTTATGATAGATAGTTCGAATAGATACATTTATTAATAAATCATCTTTTAGTATAACACTGATTTTATCTTATAATATTTTCATTTTATTATGAAAATATCAGATTTCGTTGGATATAAAAGAAAAATGTTTTTATTTAAATTTAAACTAGATTTGTATGTATGTATATGTTAGACTAGATATGAAATCACGAAGACATGATATAAATATATTAGTATTATCAAAACTAATATTTTATTTATATATAAAAGCTTTATACGACGAATCATGATGCAATGATTAAAAAAATGATAAAATGTGACATTACTGTGCTTGAAAGAAGAGATAAGATTTCAAATCAATTGTATTTATTTCTATTTCTCTTTTATTTTTAAAATTGTTATCACAAGTAGTCGGATGAAAAAATTATTATTATTCAAAGTGTCGTATTTTTGCAAAGAGTGAATAATAACATGTGAAACTCATGTGTAAGTTTATGAATTGCTAATGTGAAAATCAAATGTTGTGATTAAAAGAAGTAGATTATCAATGAATAATATTGTTCGAATCTAAGCCTTGTTTAACTTTGTTAGATAAAATCTTAAAGTGCATCCTTCTATTTCTAAAATTGTACTAATATATGACGAAAGAACATATTTGATTAAGAAAAGGAGAAAAAAAAGTTGTAAGAAGGTGATGATTTACGTTTAGACTCATTTGTTGATGTGTGTTCTCAAGCAATTTTAATAGTTATATTTACATGTTTTTCATAATGTTAAGAATTTTGTCCTGTAAATGAAGATTAAGTTATATTTAATATGATGACAATGTTTTTTCTATGTAGTTTTAAGTTTCAATCTAACGAGGAGAATACCTGAATTGATTAATCACTTTGAAGTCAAGAAAGTGTGAATCATATGGACTCTAATGAACCATGAATATTCTGACAACAATTCAGATTGTAGCTTATTGTTGTTGAGATATTGCATTTGTCCAATATTTTTGAAATTAATACCATGACCCTCCTCAGGAACATTATGCCCATAAAGAATAAAAATTTCTCAATGAAAAGTTAGTGAATCATATTTAGAATCATCTTTTTAACAAATCTAAAATGTCCCATGACTTCTTCTATCATAAACAAAAACAGTAATAGATTTAAGTGAAAACTAATCTTCTACTGTTGACATTGCTACTGAATTAATGATGATAATTAAGTACATTTGTGAGTTAAATGTCGTCTAACCTATCACACATAAAAATCCTTAAAAAAATGTAACAGTTGATGAAAAAATAATAAAACATCATGCTTGCTTATTGTTATATTTCTTAAAGGAGCTTGCAAAAATTCGATAGCATTGGTTTGGCATCAACATTTGGTATTCTTTCTAAATATGAGTTCAACATTTTTGTAGAATTTCTAGGTTAGACGTGACGAGTCAACTTTTTCACAAGTCCGTTAATTAAATGTGGACGGACTTTGATGCGCCGAAAATGTCCAAATCAGAAGCGAAAATTATTTCATATATAGCGAATGAAAGAACCTGCATCTTCTCAACAACTTGTGTACTAATGATTCTATTGTTTACAGAAAGTTATTTGTTAACAATAAGTATTTTGATAATGGACACTGTGTCAATTTAGGCAATTGTCTCGATTTCTAAGGACAACAGACTTGCAAAATGAAGTCAGTCATTCCTGAATGATTGTTCAGAAATTCAATATTTTAATGTTACTTTGTAGAGAACAATGCCGTCTTTAACTCCATGCAAAATGAATCGGAAATATAACGTATGCAATAAAAGAGACTATTGAAGTAAAAAAAAGTCAATTTTGTCTGTTCAAACTTCATTTTCATACCTCTAAAAGGTTCCTGCATGACACCTAAACAAGAAGTCGTACAAAAATGTTGACTCTATATTCGAAAACAATACAAAATTTGGATTCTAACCGAACATTTCCCAATTTCTACCGATTCCTGTAAGTGGCTGACAAACAGAGCAGCATTTTTCTTAAATTAATTTTCAGCCATTTATTCGTTAGAAAGAAAAACAGAAGTAAAATATAAAATTCAACCGTCTTCTTTCGTTGAAAACGATATTAAATCTACTGATATATTTCAAGTTCATTCGATATCTTTGTGGCACTTGTGAAAATACTTTTAAAATTCTTCAGCTGTTGAGTACATAATAGCAAAGACGTTATATTCAAGGGAATTTTATATATATAAATATAAATTATGAGTCAAATCTTCGTGAAAGAAATCAATTTTTTACTTGCTCGCGATGCGAATCATGATTAGCCAATCAAACTCTGCTTATCATTGAAATTTGTTTTAAATGTCCTATCAATAATTAATCCATCATCAATTGAAATTTAATATCTTAAATTAAAATTGAAGAATAAACAATCCATTACTGACAGTTATTGTTATGCATAAAGGGGTGTCAAAAAAAAAAGATAAATACTGAATAAAAAGCAATTCATAAACAACGATTGACTGAAAGAAAATGATAGGCACAAAGGAATTATCTAAGTTGCTGGATGAAAAGTTTCTATTATGGATAGCAGAGAAATATAGAACGTTTGAATATCAGTAAAGTTATGTTCGAAAATATGAATGGATATACTTGATGCTCTACAATGATATATAGTGGAAATTTATACAAAAATACCGATGCTTCTTTTACACTGAAGCAATCTGAAAAGTTTCTGTAAACGAAAATGAAAAATTATTTAATGTAGGAGAGATAAATCAAATTAGATGTTTTGTTTTTGTATTGAAAAAATAAATGAAGTAGTTGTATAGTTTTAGCAGGACGAGTCACACTCGATGCGGCACTAGTATAAATAGTTAGCTTATTCTGTCATCAACATGAATATATGTAAATTATAAAGTAACATTAAATCATTCAAATAAAATTGTGTACCAGTGATCTAAATTGTCGGAGGTATACTAACAAAGCCAGTGGCTATAAAATTATTATTAATATTTATTATTACTGAAGAACATTTACATAACAATATATATCAACAATAGGACATAGAATGACTTAGTTTTCTTGTTCACTTTATTGTATGTAATAGATTCGAAACCAATATCTACATTTGAGTACGTAGTAAAGGATGTGAGTGAGTAGAAAGTTATTGCAACTATTAAAAGTTTAGTAATAAGTACATGAACTTAACTATTTGTTGATGAAAATCTCATTCAGATCAGTTTTAAGACTTGATTACATTTCCATTCAAAAAATGTGTTTGCTTCATTGTACGTGTCTTCATAGACATGGGAGATTTATTCTCTTATTATACTTGTCGATCCATTACAATTTCTATTAAGCAATAACTTTATCTGGATCATTACTTCACTAAATTCTTTTGCTGATTTTGATACGTTTAATATACATATATGTTCAACGAACATGTAGAAATATTGAATCTGTACAAGTATCGTTGAAAATTTCAATGAAATATCTTATTGTTGTAGGCAATTATAATTGTATAAAAAATCTGCACCATGTATATTATTTTTCATTTTAGGAAAATCGAAGTTCTAATAGAAATATAAATGTAGATGAATGATATGAGATATGATATATCTTTATTTATACAAAAGAGTCATACATGTAGAATTTCCATGCAAGATATAATTCAATTAAAAATAAAAATTTCATAAAAGATTGGTCAGTTTCAAGAATTAAAATAAGATGTCTAAAAGCAATATTACTTAGCAACGTAATCTTTCATTGTTTGGTAATCAATTTAAAAATAATTTTCTTTTATTTATGATTAATACAAAGTCTTTACTTTTAGACAGAGATTATACTTATATGTATGAATTACAAAAGTAAATATTTCGTCAGCTAATAGTAAACATGTATAGTTCTGAAACATGATGAAAATAGAACAAAAGCACATGTAACAACAAAATTGTTTTCATTGAAACTGTAGACGAAGATTATCAATCAAAATTGTACGTAGATTTCACATGTATATTTTTCCCAGGTTTTATTGAAAATATGACATTAACAAGTTAGTTAAAGTTTCATTTTTTATCTCAATCTAGTTCACTGAATTTTTCAAAATAAGTGTTCACATATAATTAGTTCTGTAATGCTCACTATTGACTTGCTCGTAAAATGACTTACTGTATAGTTTGTGTTCATGAAAATGTTTGACATTTATTTTGTTTGATTTTTCATACGGTGCTATACTTTTCCCACTCCTTAACGTAACTGATTAATAAATAACATGCATCATTTATCATCATTAAATACATTATTTTATCGTTTTATTAGATTATTCAAAGCAAAACAAATGAATGTTATTTGCAATTGTGAAAAGCATGTAAAAGCGAAATACAAAAAAAATATTTGAATAAGAAACCAAACACAATATGTACTTGTATTACAGATAATTTAGTATAAAAGGATTATAAATGATTGTTCTTTCTTCATACGAAAAAACAAATAAAAAAACAGTCTGTCATATGATTTCGGAATGACTGATCAATTATGAAAAGATAGTGAAAAATGTCAGTTAAACAGTTAAAAACAGTTGAGAATAAAATATTCGTTATACAAAAAAAAAAACAAAACAAAACAAAAATGACTAGACAAAATATTTGTTTATGTAATAGAATCAGGAATAAAAGTTCATTCACAATGATGAAATAACTTGTTCGTTCACTGACAAATCAATACTTATATCGTCACTTAGATTATCGAATACATTTACCGATTCTTTACGTACATTTCGTTCTACAACTTCCGCTTCCTCTATTCTTGCACTACTTCGTCTACGATCATCTTCACCAAATCGTTTCTCATATTTGCGTGCTCTAATACTAGACGATCTCGTAATTTCAATAGCAGCTGTAACACGTTTTTGTTCATCTATTCGTTGTGATAGAATAACAAAATAGAGAAGTATAGACCAAACACCTTCCAATCCATTGAATACAATAAAAAACCATTCTAAAACTTCTCCAGCTGTTGGACTCACAAATGAGATAAATGGACCAAATAACCATCCAATACCTTGTGTAACACAAGATGAGAGTAAAACTAGAACACATCGTTTCATTCGTTCATATGTTTGATGTACAGTTGTAGCATTTCGAACATGATTTATAATATGCTTAGCAACAAAAAAGATTGTGATGAAATTAGCCAGAAGAAATATACATATTGGTATTGTCATAAAATAATAGACAACATCTCGAGTAAACCAACAAAGTCTGTATGGATATAATTGAGTAATATTGAATGATGAATTAGAATTAAAACCAGCTGCAAAAGAAACCCAAGTTATAGAGAAAAAAAATGAAATAATAAGTAAACTGAATAGTCGACGCAATGACGGTTGAGGGAAGAGATGAACAAAGCGAAGATAATTGAAATAACCAATACTTGTTTTGGTACAAAACATAAAAATTAAAAAGAAATAAACAACAAACATTAATACACTTGAACTTAGAAAACATTTCGTTTCTTTTTCAGATGATGTTTGAGTATAAACTGTCATTCCAAGTGAAATGTAGAATATAAAAAGAATAGTTGTACTTGCACATGATATTAATGGGAGTATATTACTGGCTTGAAAATGCATTAATGGATTAGAAACTCGAACATAAATAGCATGAATTATAGTAGCTAAAAAGCACACAACAGACATTGATTGAAATACAAGTGATGCAATATCAGCTGCACGTAGAGCACGTCCATATGATCCTAGTAATGATTGTGGTAGCCAAATCAAAGCAAACGAAGTAAGATGATTACAACTACATTCATATCGATCGAATGTTTCGTTGAAATGAGGATTAGTACAACCCGTTTCGTCCCACCGAGAACTATTGATATCATAAAATGAACATAGATATGTGGCACTTACATTGGGTTTATATTCTGGCAATACTTTGAAATACAAAGAAATATTCAATAGGTTCGCTGGAGAACCAAGACGTTTTACTGAGCCAACAATTAATGATGACGCCAACGATTTATTCGTCGTATTATCGATAGTTTCGTACATAGACGGTTTATCGATAATGAACATTTTCAGAGATATGACATTCAATAATGATTCCTCAGCGACTATAGCAGCAACAGAAAACTGGGAATTTAATACGGACCGTTCTGTTGAATTCCTAACGAGTTCACCACCGGCTTCGCGCTGAAATCTAGCACCCAACACAATGTCATCTCCGGTTTTACTCAATTCTTGAGCAACAAGAAAAGAGGTCGTGGAATTCACGGTGATACTGATATCATTTAATTTATCAAGTACCTCATCGATTTTACTCACTGTAACACTATTATTGGAGCTGGTTGATACATTGGAACTGCCACTTGACGACACATACAACGAGAGAGCATTGGCTAAATCGACGGAACTAGCATTATCACTATTCAATATTGCCGCTGACAATTCCTACCAATGAAACAAACATTCGATAACAATAACGAAGACTCATGAGCAAACCTGTCCAGCATTAGCAGAAACACATGTTCCATTAGCTAACGCTACTTGGGAAGAATTACTACAGGCATCAGGAGTATAAACCGTACTCCTTGTGGTCGTTATTGTACTTGTCGATGACGAACTAGTAGTAGTTGTGCTTGTACTAGATAATATAATAGTCTCTGAGGTAACAGCAGAGGCTGTTGTCACTTCTGTTGTATCTGTAGTGCTATTTGAGAGTCCTGATGATGAGTTTGCGGACCAAGTGAGAGCAAAAGGTGTTAAATGATTACAACTACATTCGTATCGATCTTGTTGTATGTTGTGAAAAGGTACAGTACAACCGGTTTCTTGCCAACGAGAATTACTGCTATTATAAAACGAGCATAGATATGTGGCAGTTACATTGGGTTGATACTCAGGTAATATTTTGAAATACAAAGAAATATTTACTGAATTGGACGCAGAATTCAGGCGTCCTACGGAGGTAATAATTACTGATGACGCCAAGAACTTTTTCGTTGTGTTGTCAATATTTTGGTAAATAATGGGTTTATCAATTATAAGCATTTTGAGAGATGTGAGATTTACGAAAGATTCTGCCGCAATGATAGCGGCAACTGAAAAACTGGAATTTAGTATGGACTGTTCCGTTGAATTTTTAACAGATTGGCCACCTGAATTACGTTGAAATCTAGCACCCAAAATGATGTCGTCTCGTGTTTCACTTGATTCTTGAGCAATTAGAAATGAGGCGTTAGAATCAATCGTGATAGTGATATTATTTAGTTTAGTAAGTATTTCATCAATTTTACTGACCGTGACAGTGTTATTAGAGATGCTTGATAGATTTAAATTTGCAATGGATGAGAAATACAACGAAAGAGCATTGGCTAAATCGGTCGAACTAGCATTAGCATTGTTTAATATTGCAGCTGACAATTCCTAGGAACCAAACAAACGTTCGCTACTAATCATAAAGATTTATGATCAAACCTGTCCAATACTAGCAATAACACATGTTCCATTAGCTAAAGCAACTTGGAATTGGTTAGCGCAACGATCAGGAGTATATGCTGTAGTAGTTGTAGTTGTTAGTGCACGGGTCGATGACGTAGTACTTGATGTAGAAGTATGTGAGATCGAAATAGTTGTAAATGTCGTTGTTGATGTTGACGTTGTTAATGTTGTGGTTGTTGATGTAGACGTAGATGTTGTTAACGTTGATGTAGTTGAGCTTGCCGTTGTGGTTGTGCTCTCCCTGGTAGTTGTTGTTGATGAGGTTATTGATGTTGTGGTGGTTGTAGTCTCCGTAGTAGTTGTGGACGTGGAGGTCGCTGTGGTTGTCGTGGTTGTAGTCTCCGTAGTGGTTGTTGATGAGGAGGTCGCTGTGGTTGTCGTGGTTGTAGTCTCCGTAGTGGTTGTTGATGTGGAGGTCGCTGTGGTTGTCGTGGTTGTAG